GTGGGCATTGTTAGTAAAAAATATTAAAAAATAAAAAATAGGTTAATTTAACATTTATACTGCGTCAAAATGTTGTTAGGTGTGCTATGCTCCTTTGGCTTTATTTGTTCCACCAGTCTTGTTGTTGGTACATCAACAGTTGAGTCTCTTATACCAAATTTGGATCCACACCGAAACAATAACAACTATTGGACCGTTGGACTATGTCTTTAACACTCCGGCATTTCACAGGGTGCATCACGGTACAGGCATAATATTTKAACTCTGATGAAATGGCACATGATAAAAAAATATATTATTCAAAGATCTAATTTTTTTTAGGGAGCAATCTATATTGTCTAGACAAGAACTATGGAGGCGTTTTAATCATATGGGACAGGATATTCGGGACATTCCAAGACTTCTATCCGAATAAACCCATCACGTATGGCTTAGTATACCAGAAAAATGCATTCAATCCTCTATCTTTACAAGTAATTATCTTGCAGGTGACAGTAGGTCTGTGTGCTCGTATTAAACATACATATTTTTTTTGAACACAATTTAGTTTTTCTACAATTTAAATTTATATTATAAATGGAAAAGTATGAAGGGTTGGAAGAACAAATTAAGATCAGTCATCAAGGGACCAAGTTGGATACCAGGTCTATCATGGACAGGTCACGACGGAAGGCGCGCCAGTGTAATGAATATAATCATCTCAAGTCTAGTTCTATCAAACTTAAGCTTCAAATATCTGATTTAGGTTGCAGGACATAGAAAAAAATATGACGTGAAGATATCATATGCACTTAAGTCATATTTATTAGTTCATTTCGTTGCAGTCGTTTATGGCTACTCTACTTTAACTACAATTCCACGTTCTGTAAGTGTACTATAACAATTATTTTTAATATTGTAGATATAATTTGAACAGTTATTCTTAAAATTTTTTTATATATAGTATCTTGTACAGATAAAATTTAACAACAATTTAGGTTTAATAATAAATAACAAATTAAAATATTGATAATTCACTCAACAAACAATTTTATTTCGATAATAATCATAATGCTAACCATTTAAAATAAAATGTACATCAACAACACACACAATAGTATATTATGACTTTAATATGATTTAAGGATATCAATAATATTACAACAACATATCACAATAACGAAATAACATAGTACGTAGGTATATAATATTATAAAATTTATATTTTAAATCTTAGAATATAATTATAAATTTTTTTTATAATAACTATAATATGTTATACTACATACATCATCGATAAAAAACCACAAATATTAAATTATTAACCTACCTAATAAAAATTAAATTAAATGTGTTCGGTTAACAATTTAACAAAAACCATATGTTAATTTAATTAGATAATAATTAGGTTAATTTTATTTTTTGAAGTAAAACTATTTTTAGTCCATTTAAATTTTACTTTACTTTACCCATATATTTGATTTTGGAAAATAAATTGAACAATAATTCTTATTGTTTAGTTGTTAATATTACTATGTTTAGTTTAGATCAGTACCTATTAAAATTTAAAAAAAAAACCGTTAAATAAAAATTAATAATTGGACACATTTTTATACTATATATTWCTTTTATATAATATCTATATTCAACTATACTTTCGAAGCTATCTAAGTAAAATAATATTATATAACGCTATATCAGTGTTTAAAAAACAAACTGAACATGCATGTAATATAATCTTCCTTTTTAAATTTCACTTGAATGTTCTTAGTAATACATTTTTTAATTAAACCAATTCAACTTAAAAAGATTTCTAGCTAAATGAAGCTTAAATATTATCATCATAATTCATACCTAATGATGATTGTTATCAAAATATTTGTTTTTATTTATTTAAATTTTAAATATTTTATTGTATTAGGTATATTATACTTAAACTTAAAACTTCATTTCTAATGGAGGATACATATACTAAGCAAAATGGTTCAACTAATTTATTACGATCGCCCCCGTGAAGAGTTTGATTGCTAATTCCTTATGGGTATRAAGTATATTCAACATTTTGTGAATGATGTTGAATGATCATAAAATTTGTAAACGAAACACAACATTGTAACATTCTGCTTTATAATCGCCAACTTATGTCCTAATGCAAATAAAAACATAGGTACTTAAAATTCAAATAATTTTATTTGAGTATGTTTTTAATTTAAAATCTATGTAATTTCTTAACAACCCAACATGTTTCAAATTTATTTATTTGTGGTATAATAATGTAATTTTATATTTTGTATATTTTAAAATATCAATTGTTGAAAGTTTAAACCTTTTATCAATGCTTTCATAACGAACATATCCTCACTAATTGTAAAGAGAGACTTTTTCGAGATTTATTTATATTTTTACCGTAAGTGAAACTTTTGCTTTATGATATTGTTAATTTTCGAAGAAAAATATGTTTTTACTTAATTTTATTATTATTATCTCATAACTTAAAATAACAAAAATATATGTCTCATGCAAATATGTAATGACGACAAACATATTATAGGTAACTTATTTTAAGAAATATGAAGGACGCAGTTGTCAATTTAGTTAGGCATCATATTTTCGAAACATTGAGCTGAAAATATAACTAAATTAATATTAAACAATAAATGTATGTGGTATATCAAACAACAATTATAAAAAAAAAAGATAGTGAAATTAATCAAAAATATTATTTTTTTTGTTTTGTTCTTAGGGTACTTCTTTCATTATATGTTTGTCATGAATGTTTAAGTGTTTTTTTTTAATTAATGTTTATACATAGGTCTCAATTATTAAAAACTCTCGATTAACAAAAAAATAATATGTATCCAATGTTTATAAAAAAAATGTTCAATATCAATAATATTTTACTGAGATTTTGTAACGCATTATATTTTTTGTAAGTTTGGGACCACAAGATACAGTAGAGAAAACTAATAAATTTTTCTGAAGTTACAAAAATTCTATTATTTTATATTGTGAATTCTGAACACATTATAATGTAAGCCATTGAAACCGTTTGAGATAATTAATTGTACTATTTGTATGCGAATTGAAATTATATAGGTAGTAGTTGTTAAAATATTTTATTTTTAATTTAATTTTCCAAATTTATAAAAATGTAATCGCATATAAAATACCAAAACAATTACTTAGAAAAAAATCGGAATAATTATCATAAAAAATGTTATGTATTACTTTTGAATAATGCAAAAGAACAAAAGTTGAGTTAATAATTCGGCGTCATCAGACTATTTTTTAAATATTTATATGAATTAAAAAAAAGTCTGTAAAAATATAGTTTAATAACATTAGGAAATTACTATAATAATAATTAAAAGTCAGAAATGTCGAAAAAATTATTGGTGTTGGCAAACATATAATATTGATATATTTAATAATCACTGACCACTGTTAGTATGAGATTAAAAATGTAATTATATTTAGTGCCTATATAAGTTAAATAATGATAAATATACTAATAATACATAATTGTAAGCACATTATATATTACATATATATTAGGCCTATAGTTGAACATGCTTTTATTATTCATATTTCAATTTTTCAATTATTATTAGAGTAATACTAGAGTGATAAAGTGSACAAACAATATAATAAATATTAAAAAAACAATAATAATTACAATAGATTAAGATGATACAGTACCTACGCTTATATATATATTTAAAAATGTTCTATGGTTTGTATTATGTATGTATTAGTATGAAATCTCATATTATAGTCATTGGAAAGGTTGTGAATTTAATGCACTCATTATATAGGCCAGTACGTGGTTTTAAGTATGCGCAATGAATTCCTATATAATTGTGAAATAATTATGCACAGTATTTTTATTATTATTATTTAAATTTAAGTAATAATAATAATAATAATAATACCTAATAACAATCAACAGTTATGCACCTTTAATACTTAAACAGTAGTGTTGAAAGGTACATAGTATAATATAAATAAATGTTAAAATTGTACAAACAAAATATATAATGGGAAAAAAAAACATTTCTGAATAATTTATATATTATAAACATCAATACTGTAGTTATTGAGTGTCGATATGAAAAATCGTTAAACACACAGCCCTGGTAATCTTAGTAGTGTAAAATATAGTGTTTATAATATTAATATATTATTGTAATATGCCTAGTTGCTGGTTATTGATATTCGGTTAATGGAATAACGATTTAACATTTGTTTATTTTTGTTCTAGGAAATTAATATTACGTGCATGGCGATTTCTACGTTTTATATTGTCTGGTCATTGACGAGCATAGGGTTGATGTTCGAGAAGTCCTCGTGGTCAAAATGCTTTGAATGCTCAAGATGCTTAACCATATTCGTTCATCTAATATATTTGGAACCACAACCATTTTTGAGTGAATTAACTGTCTTCGTATATCAATCATTAATGGGCTTCTCAGTTGTTGTTTGGGCCATAGCATGTGTAATGCGTTAACTTATCCTAACTTCAACTAAAAAAATTTATTGCACCCAATTTTGTGGCGTGTTTTAAAAAAAATCTTCACTACTAAGTCACTGGCTAGTCACCTGTCAAAAATAACGAGCACTTCAATAAAATAATAACATATGTTGGATAAAGTTTTATTACAAATTAATAGTCATTTCTTTACGTTTTGAGGTAAATAATATACGAAAAAAAGGTACTTGTAAAAAATTATGAATTATTTGATGACGTAAGTAAAAAAAAAATAAAATTTCATAAATAATGTAGATAAGACTATACCATTAAATTCAACAAACATTTTGAGATACAAATTAAAAACTTAAAAATACATTTAGGTTACAACTTTGGTTTAACATTTATATATATATATTATGATGTATATCTGATAACCTATTTAGTTTTGGTTTACCTACAATAAAAACATAACTATCAATTATAATTATACAAATATTATCATAATAGTTCAAAAAAAATCATAAAATATTATCACTTACAGGTTATATATATCCTCTATAGACATTATAACATTTGAGGTAAGTTTAACATTCAGAGTACAAAAATCTAGAAATCAGTGATTGCCATTTATTATTTGTATTTAGAGATTAATTTTTGGACGAAGATTTCTTTTACGCAACAATATTTACAATCGTATAACAAATTAACATCTCAATATTATTATAATGCTTACATTATACCATAATCATTAGCAGCTACCTTAAAGTAATTTTGTCAAGTATATTTATTATTTTATAACGTTCTTAGTAAAAATTGTAGTTTATTGAACTACTGAAGCTGTTACCTATACATGTATTCAGTGTTATTGTCCAATGGTCCAAATTCTTCTCGATCTAGTGAATTCATTAACTCTTCGTTTTTATTTCGAACTGAAATCACAGTACATGAATTATTAGCTTAAAATCAGATGTGTATGATATGACCAAGTATTATGATGTTGATGGTCAAATATTTTAAATATTTAAAGAATTATAATTTAATAACAATTGTAAAACAGCAATAATATTACAATGCGCTAACTCAAAATTAGAAAACATATTTTGTCAACAATAATGATAGTTACTTATGGCGTGATATTTATTAAAAATAATATTAAGTCAGTATTATGCTAATTTTAGAGTGTATACAAAAAATAAGTGATTGTTAATAAAATATATCACAACTTAAACTGAAAGAAATAGTGACTCGTATAGTGTTTGATGCTAAAAAAAAAACCACTCTAATGTATGAAAAGGGCAGTCTATCTGAGGGAATCGAAAATTGCTGCTCATATTGCAAAACATTTGCTGGTGAGGGGAACTAAAAAGAGATCTTCCCCATCCCTAACATTATCTCTCTGCAGCGAACAACTCCGATGTTGGTAAGTTATTTATACCTTCCAACACCCATGTAAAATAAATTATTATTCACATGATACGTGCACATCTGCTTTTGCCAACAGTGTTTTTGTCTCGGTTTTGCAACCTTGCTGACTGCAGCAGTCATCATAAATACAAAATTATATTAATACACATTGTAATACATGGTGCATTAATGTTTATTATTAATATATCGCTAGCAGTTACTTTAATTTTTTAATTGTAAAATAGTACCATATGCATTATTAATATTATAATATATTAAGATGTGTTTTGATGCATAATTTTAATATAATGTATTATAATATATTTATGACACATCACAATCACGCATATTCCTACTTTGTCATCAATCGAAATAAGTCTGTTTTTCGTTGTTACACTCATGGACGCGTTTATCAACTTATTGTGTGTACTTATACTGTTATACTATTGCACTTTTCTCATTCGTCTTATTTTTTGAATAAGCGTTTCTCAATCTGTGGTATGATTACCAGTCATAGGTGGTACACAAAGAAAATCTTGCTTTATAAAAAAAATTGAAATTATTTTTAACAACCAATATCGAAGTTGTCCAATCAAGCATTACTGTTTCTAATCCCTTTTGTGTCGATAAATCTGTGCAAAAAATATATTTCCTCAATTTAAAACGATGAATCATGTCATTATTCATTAAGTAGTTAAACTTTAAACCATACAACAATAAAAACAATAATTGTACCTATACTTACATATTATATAGGGATTTTACTCTTGTGCATTAAACGCTTGTATTTTCATAATTATGCAACTCCTACAATAAAATAGGCTATGCTTGTAAGAAAAACGTCAATGTTTTTTAATAGGTAAGCAAAAGAAAAATAGATTATTAGATCCTCAAGTGGCACTCGAACATTTTCGAAAAGTGTTGCGGTGGGACTCGGATACAAAAAGGTTGAGAAACACTACTTTAAATCATTATACTCCTGCACAATGACGGTCTTATCTGAGAACTGCAGCATCAGAATAGATACCGGTGACATCGCACAAATATTATAGTCGTATTATGATTATAAATTATTATTTCGGGTCAAAGACGGAGGAATAGCATCACTTATCAGGAATAAGCTATATGCTCGTTTTCTTTATTTCTTTTTACATATGTGGTACAATATAATATTATTATTATACTGACGCTGAATGGATGATTATAACGTATACCTAATATTATAATATAATATACGCATCATGAAGTCGCTCACGCCGTTTGGTCTTGTTGAAGGTAATAGAGAGAATACAAAATCATTGCGCAGAATATTAATAAACACTATTATATAATAAGAGTGTAGTGTGCGAAAGAGTTCACGAGAAACAGCTGTCGCAAAGTTAATATTATTATAAAATTGCTGCAGATATAGTGAGCAATTATAAAAGTGCACGAAGTGTGAAGGTAAATTCTAGTAAATATGTATACATGTAAGAACGGTGTACGTCTGTAACGTGTATGTACGTCCATGTGAATCCGACGAAATGATTTAACTTATCCGACACTATATGATTTCGTCCGACAAATAGTAATAAGCGGACGGACATTATTTGGGCAGTCACGTATGTGTGTGCTTTTACCATAATAATGCCATCATCATCACGACTGGTTCATAATAGTATAATATCATAACCTCGTACACTATATAACATGATATAAAAATATGTCGTGTATGACATGTGATGACTTCACTAATAATTACGTGTTTTAAGACATAGTTTTTGATTTAATAGTAACACTTGATCATAAAATTACTTTCAAGTTAAAATTTATAAACAAAATTTTTTTGTTAAACACGAATGACAAAATGGTAAATTTGTAAGATGGCAAAAAAAAATATGACAAATTATCATCGATAAATCATAACAAACACAAGGTTTTTTCAAAATAAAATATAAAAAGCTATGAGTCTATAAACTGCTTATCTGGGGGGGTGGAGTGGCCAAGCGGACTAAGGCGTCTGTTGCCATGCACGCAGTCGCCGGTTCGAACCTCGGTCACGACTCACGGGCGGCATCGTTCATTGGGCATTTCGCGGTATCTGGAGAGAGAGGCCGCCGCCCTCCAACCGGGCATGGCAGAAACCTACGAGTGCCCATTCGAAATTCTGCCAAAAATACCCACGTGTTTAAAACCTACAGTACCTTCCCCTACAGTTCCCCCAGGCTAATGACCTCAGTTGTCGAAGCCTTATAACCCTAATAAAAAAAAAAAATACTGCTTATCTGAATTTATTTTAGAGAGAGTATTTACTGTGTGTCACTCTAAACGGGTGATATATCCACAAAGCAATAAACATAATATATGTTATATCGTTATATCATAATCGTATGAAAAATTACCCACCGAGTTCGTCAATGACGGGTGCCATTCTTAGTGTTACGCCCACCAACAGCATACAAGTGATGAGCAACAGTCCGGCGGTGATTATAATTGTCCATCTCGCTCTTTGAGGTAAGTCGTCTGGATGTATAGTAGGTACGGGATGAGGTCTCATTACATTATGTTTGTCTTCTCCGAATCTTGTTCTTCGGATTTTTTTTTTCAACCGAGTCTTTGGGTTTTGAGCCTCTATATAATGCCGATTTTCTTCTAACATGCCAGCAGTAGATCTATATTAATGTATAAACACTTATTTTAAAATACATAATAGAGAACATCATTAAAACACTTTTAATTCCAAAGGATTGATTACTTTTGGATCCGTCTTTAATCAGTTATTAATTGATAGTCAATTGCATAATTGAAATTGAAAAAAAATCATTAACTATGTAATTAAAATTATATAACTGTTACCATTTTTTTCTCCATAATTTTACAGTTGAACAAATATTATATAGAAATTTTTGTCATTCTATTAGTTATAACATTTCATTCTAGTTATTTAATACGTTTCGGAATTTATAAAAATGTTAATAGGTATAGTATTATGTGTTTTTTATCTCATAACATGTTTTATATTATAGCTAATGCTGCCAAAATGTTTTTTAACGTGATACACAGTCAAGTAACTACCTATTTAGCCTATGAAGTTGGTTTTAATTGAAAATGTTAGTATAATATTTTGACGAAGAGTATGAAATAAATTTATGTTAAGTACCTGCAGCTAAATACAAAAAGTATATGCATATAAGTATCTACATATACCGAGTGATTTTTTTAACACGTGTAAATTTGGATTAAAATTTAATACTTATTTACATCTTCCTATACCTTTTTATTTTCATTACCTACATGGCCGAGCCCGCACCGAGTCTTATTTATCCCGAGGTGGTAGAACCGACCATCACGGGTCATGATGGTGAACGGCGACTAGCACCAACGGCATCGACCCATGTACAGAATTAACGTCCTGAGGGACAGTCGGGTCCAACTATACTGAACGCCGACAGCGCGTATATAATATAATCACAGTCCGTACGAATGTGACGGCGGTGTTGGGTTATGCGGGTGGGCGACCGCTTTCGCCTACTACATATCACAAGTCTCCGTGTCAGAGATTGGACGTAATTCATTTGGTCGTGCTAATCCACCCCCATAAACTTGGGGTCAAAGATACCAGCTCTCTAGTATCCAGTCTCTACGAGGTCCCGGAGATACGATTCGCAAGCAGCTGATACTGGAATTTAAGACAGAGACTACTACCACTTGATTTTTGTACCGAATTCAACGATTTTATTTTCATTGACTATTATTACAACTATTATAGTAACTGGTATAATATGTTTCGAGTACAAAACTACTAATCTTACCTTTTTGTTTTTAAGGCACCTACCTATACCTACACCGGTACATGATATGAATAATTTAATAAAAGTTTCATTAAATGATTCTTACAATAATAATCAACAAATACTCGTTAACTCAAAAAGTGATTAAGTAATTAATTATATAAATTTTTTACATATTTAAGTCATTGTAAAATAACATTAAAAAAAAAAATTTCATTATTCATTGTTATAATTTTCTAAATTTTTATTTTTTGATCGATATCATCAATGTTTAATTCAATATTCCTTAACAAAATATTTTTCTGACAATTTTGAGGTATACAAATCGAATTTTGAATGGATCGTTATTAAGTTTAAACACTCATAAGTGAACTTGTATAAGAATATATAATTTATAAGTATTTAAATTTTCAAGTTTAAAAGAGCACAATACTACATATACATTGTACACATAATGTGTTACTCTACTTCGTTCATTTAACTTCAATACATAAACTAAACTCGTCCAAAATTCAATTTTTGTATTTTAATTCAAAAAATAATTTTCCGTGGAAATAATACAAACAAAAAAAATTTTTTTTTTTAATATTGTTTCTTAATGACTTAAAATTATATAAATAAAAATATATAAATCTTCCTCAAAAAGTTGAAACTTTTTAAGATAATGAGTGTTAGTGTTTTCAGACTGTTAAAATGATTATTTTATATATAGCTACATATACACCTACATAATACAACTTATTAAAGTTTCGTAACTTTTTCTCATTAATTTTGGCGTTTCTTTTGAAAACTAAATCATTTTAATCTTATAAACGACGGAATTTTTAATTGTGTAAAAGTAATATTGGTTTAGTTTATTAAGCAAGTTTGAATTATAATAGTCTGTATTCAAGTTAACCTTATTTCTTACGATTTATCACATTCTGAAATTTAACGTCGTATTTATATATAAATATTACGCCGGATATGATTGTGTAGAGTATATATTAAACTGTTGTCTTTTTTGCGATACCTTCAGATTTTGAAAATGTTATCATCTATTTTATACTTTGAAATATGAATTAAATTATTTAAATTATACATTAAATTATATAGTTCTATAGTCATTTTTGAATTTTTTCTTTCTATACATCCCTTTTAGAGGATTTAAAACAAATTATTTTTCATTTAGTTTTCTGAGGTTGATAGCTTATAAGAACATACCGTTGCAGTGCGGCGGTAAGGATGTGACCACCTAAATAGGGTACAGCCGGTCTTTGAGTCTGAGGCCATTTTTCAACTTGGACAGGTTCCTCTTGTCGAACAATCCCATCACAATGGTGGTGATGGTGGTGAAACAATTGGTGATCTAGATCATGTCGATGCTGGTGATGATGGTGGTGGTGGTGATGATGGTGTTTTTGACATGAATGCATGCAGCGACCCTTTCGACGTCTGTTAATTTATTTTTGAAAATGTACAACAAAATAAACCAGTTACTCTATTTTAGACTTATCTAAACATCATCCAATTTTTATTGTATTGATTGAGTTCCCATAAAGTATAGTATAAAAAATTGAAATGGTAAGTAGGTACTATATATTAGCGCCCTGGGACAATAAGTATAACCACTATGGTACTATTCCCAATAGCTTATGAGTATCGACATTCCAAAATAGTTTTAAATAAAAACCTTTCACCATAATTTCATGTAGTGGATGTGTTAAATTTAAGTAAAATGTTAAATTAATGAATAAGAAAAACGATATGGAGTGTAGACAGATAATTGAGCTATATTTCTTAGGATATTCTAGTATACATTTATTTTATATTGATTTTAGTAATTAATATTTTGCTTTGTAGTACTGTAAAGCTAAAAATAATTATTTAAAAAAAAAATATTGAGTGTATTATTATATGAAAAATAGTATAGCACTACTACGTTTATTAATATCACGTAAAATTATTGTATTCTTATTGACTAAGTAAATACTGATGACGTGCAGTAATTTGGTGTATTTTTAAAACAATCTACCAGTGACATAGTCAAAAGTTTGCATTTCTATTTTCTTTGGATAAATATTATTGTATACATAATGAAATTACAAAAATATTAAATCTTTATTTTTTATATAAATTTGTGATTTTATCAAAATTTGAATTTAATCAAAAATAACCTAATCAATTTTTATGGTTATGACAAATTTCATCAAAGTTTTAAAGTTCTTATAATCTTAAAACAGCGGATATACGACGTATATTCGATATAATGATAATTCTGAAAGAAGAACGTATATGAGGAACCTTACATTGAATTGTCTAGATTTTGAATTGAGTAGAAAATATTTATCAACATTTACAAAATAAAATGTCAAATGTGTTAGGTTAAAAGAAGCCAAAATATTTCCTGATACATATTATCATGTATAGAAAATATTGAAATATATCATGTTATTTAAAACTTCAAGCGCCTATTTATAGTTAATTATTTTTTAATTACAACAATAAAACAAAATATATCTTGTCAAAAACCTATGCTGCGTAAATATTCCCATACCTATTTGTTTTTTTTTTGTTTTTTATTGTATTTTACTTTTGACCCCCTTGAGTACAAACTACTAAACTAGTTCCTAGGTTATACTAGAAACTATGTCTTATACTGAAAATTAAAGTAGGTACTTTAATAGCCAATTATTTTCTGAAAAGTGTACTAAGACGACAAGTACAAGTACTTATATAAAAAAAAAAACCACACACATCATCGTATAAAACTAATACATTCGTCGTTCTATTGAGAAACTAAAAAGTAACAAAGCTGAGTAATTACAGTAAAGTTGAACCGCTTATAGGATCGCTTTAAAAGTGTGTTTCGAAATAAACAATCGATTTATGTAATGGTTTATGTAAGTGGAAATGTGCCTTAAATATTAACAAAACATAAATAACAGTGCTAATATTTGAAGAGCTTTAAATATTATTATTTTTATAAACTTATAAATTATAACCAACAAACTCACAAAGGTACTTGTTATATCATACGGGTATGGGCGATATATATTTAAATTAATGCATTAACGAAACAGCTACTAGTTGTATATTTTAGGAGTTTAATGTTTATTCCGTACAAACTTCAACCATTATTATCATATTTGATAAACATAATGATTTTGACCAAGAGTTAAAGTAAACAAAACTTTATATTATTTATTACTTTTTATATGACATTTAGTCTTGTACATATATATTATATTTGTGTGAGAATTTGGTGTTTTGAAAAAATACGTGGATATCTTTTATTTCATACATCATTTAAACATTACTATATTGACCTATATTGCAATATAATTTATTGTTAGTTCCTAAATTAAAATTGTTATTTATACATTTATTATATTTTATCTAATAAATATTGTCTTAGCAGGCAATTGTATTTATTTTCACTAGAACCAAACATATTTCTGTAGTTGGCTATTTTTACCACACAATATCTAGTCGATAAAATAAATTAAAAAATTTAATTACGTGGATTTTTTGTTCAACGTTATATTTTACAGTTCAACTGATAGATAAATAGATTTAATTGATACATCAGAGGTTTTAGTACCGATGTGTAAGAATAAAAATAAAAATGCATTGATTTTCCTAAGTGGGAAAACAAAGTGAAACGTTTTTTATTCTGGCGGATGGTTTTTTTTTATATGTGCTAGAAACCCATACATAGTGCATAATATAAAATGTGACTTTTGATAACTTACATAGAATGAAAAAATGAAACAAATAATTTCACAGTAACTTATTAAATAGGTCAAATAAAACGAAATTGTTAATATTAAATATAACAATTTCAAACTTTCATAAGATTGTCTGGGGTTTCTTGTGAATTGTTATAGTTGTTTACATTTTCAGTTAATTTGTATTTATTTAAGTATTGACCTTTTAACTAATTATTATTTTCTTTGATCGATTACCCAAATCGTGAATAATTTAAAAATTGCTTACGATTGTGATATTAATAATATATTATAATATTTCTACTGAAAATACGTCAATACGTAATTATGGAAAAAATTCAACGAAAAGCAATAAATTATTATTATTATCTGTAATTTGTGTAACATTGATTTTATTGAACTAAATGTTATAAATTGGAATGATTCTAAATCTGTTACTCTAGACTTTCAAGAAACATAACATAATTTTTAAAAATCAATGTAAATTTTCCCATGTCTACTGCTAACAACCCTCGTCCTTTGTATTCTCCTCGCAGAGTACATAAACACATACCTGAGTTTGCGTTTGTTTTTTGAGTTTTTCTCTGCCAATCTTTGCACTAATAACTTTGGCTGTATCCTCCATTTAAGTTTGGCCTCACAAATATCCGCCTTGATGGATATGACTTTACGGTTGACTAGTGCCGCCAGGATGTGATGCACTCGGAAATCTTCGTGGTCTAGCTAATTAAGTACGGATCAATTACAAATATTAAACTTAAATGATATAATATTAAAATAATATTTTGTAAGAAGAAAAACAATAATAACGTTTCATTTAAAACTTCATTAGAACAATGAACTGTTTCATAATAATATATTATGACACTCACATCGCCTAATTGCTCCGGGTCTGTGGAAACTGCCTTCTCCTGTACCAGAATACTCGTACTCATTACTTAAGCTTTCGATTAATAACAATCACCGAAAGTCACATTGCAACCTGCTATCATATAAAATAATTCGATTAATAACACGTAATTGGTTTATAAAAAATAATGTATAGTGAAATGTTAAAATACTAAAGCTGAAAACACAATATATTATAATACCACTGATCAGATGTATTATAAAAGTATTATTAAATAGGAGTATTTATAATCAGTTATGATACATATAATAGCTGTTATTAATTGTATTGGTAGATGGTGTATTATAATTTAATTCTTATTCTCTCTAAAAAAATCTTTTATAAGCTAATCATACAAATTACGAGTAGACGTTTTTTTTAAACGAAAAGTGAGATGTGTAAAAGTTGAATTAAGGTTATATGTATATTCAACAACATTTTGTTTTACTCAATATTGTATTTTTTTGATGGTTTTGCTAAATGATACTGATACATATATTAGTTTAAAAAGTTAGGATAAAATTTACCTGGAAAATGAAGAAAAAAGATACATAAATTAAATACAAGAATAAAATGAAAGAATTGCACTTAATATATAATGACACAATAAGGTGACATTTTTGTTTTCATCACGAATATACTTTCATTACTATTGAAGTAACCCGTAGCATATAAATAATATTTTTTTTCAAACTCTTAAATGATATAAGTACATATTTACTCTTCAACATTTTTTTCTTAATTTAAATATTGTTACCTCCTCCTCGTTTTACCATTAATTCACGAGTAAGTTTTAGCCACACCTGTTGCTACTGCTACTGTATCTCCTATAATGTTTTTCGTTTTTAATTCATCAATATGCAATATAGATTTGTTCATAAGTAACGCGTTTTGTGTAAATGTTTATACAAAAGTTAATTATACAATAGGTACAATTAATTTTTATACAATATTATCATTTTATCGTATTCAATTTTAAATTTGAATCACTCAGTTATTTTAAAATTAGATTGTATAATAAGTTATAGAGTACTGTATTCATGCATTATTATTTGATTATTCACTGCAATTACAGAATATTATGATTTTTATAGATTATAATCATAATAATCATAATAATATCATAGTATTAATTTGATTTGATATGACTTTAAGGCTATTTAAAATTCTCTTGAATATAAAAGTATTCGATGATAAATATGATTAATTGCATAATTACATACCTACGTATATATATATATTTTCATTTATTATATTTAAATTGTGTCAACATATTACATGTTATTAAAAGTTTATTAATACAATTAAGAACTTATATATTAAATATGGTATTATCAGAAGAACCTAAGTATATAAAAATAATATTATTTAGTATACATTTTTTAATCGAAAAATATCAATTGTTATTATTGAAGTAATAGACGGTAATAGCAATATGCAATTTAACATGTAAATAATTTTTTTTTTTTGTAATAAATAAAAATAGGTTTGTAAGTAACATTTAGCTATTATAATTACAGAATATATTAATTTGTGTATTCACAATATTATAATGAATGAGTTAATATGTTAATTATCATCATAATATATGATTTTAATATTTTACCCTTTTTAATTTCAATTTTAAATTAATAGTATATTCTACAAGTAAATGTCTTTTATTATGTTTAATTATGCAATAATTAATATCATTATCTCAAACTCATAATATTATAATATAATTAAATAAAATAAATATTATTAATTATATAGTGATGGTGAACAATTAGCAAGCAATAGAATAGCTGAGTTAACGCAAAATATGATAAATGGATTATTGTAAAATTTGAGAAATATTATATTTACTTATCTATAGTTGAACACCAGTAACCGGTTTATATTGCATTCATGGTAGTTTGAATTTTTTAAGGACGTTTAAAATAATAATTTGCAAAACGGTATTTTACACCGTATACACACAAAAGTCAACATGCAATAATCAGACGTTATAAGTCAATTATTATAGAAACCCGCAGTGTGTTTGGCCCAATATGGCATTATGCCATTATATATATAAGTCTATAATAAAACAATAACTAACGTAAAACTGATGAGTACTCAACCATCGTTATAAAAAATTTCCGTTTTAGTGATATTATAATGTTGAAAAAAAAAAATGTCATCGATATTCCACATTAGAAAAGTCAATAGCTAGAATTACTTAGATACTAAGTAATATATCCACAACAAAATATGGTGAACAACAATGATTTGCTCGCAACGTTTTTTCGCGTTTCTTTGTCAGCCTATCATATACGAAAAAAGTAGTTCTTACGAGTTCATCGGGTTGACTTTTTACTCGCAATAAACATAATATTTTTCATCCAAACGATTACCTATAAGTAATTACGTCTTATCGGAATAATATTGTGTACCTCTAGGGCGAGGGTTATGGCTTTTGGGATTTGTACCGTTTAATATATAGGCAGCTTACAAAGAAACGCGAGATTTTAATCCCCACGCAAATTAACAGAAACCGTACGAAATCCAAATAATCGCCAAAGCTATGCTGTAACTGCACTAGACAATATTATTAAATATTCATTATATTCCATGCATGTTAAATTAGAGATTTTTGAAAAGCCGAACACGCAGGATATAATATTATGTACCCAGAGATCAGGTGCAGGGCATTCGTCTTGCTTTGCAAGCACTTTGACGCAACATACCTAGGTAGTGGTCGTATAATTTGTATTTGCCTGATATTATATGCACATTGAAAAACCGGGGACATTCCGTATATTATATTCAGATAGTGGTTGAACATCGCTATGAATTTATTATTATTATTTTTTAATAAAAATAATTCTAAGCAGAGTTCGGTTTACCGTATGACTATACAATAAACATATTATTGTTCTGTAGGTACTATATACTCAACTACATTATACTTTGTGCATATTTTTTGTCAGGAAAATTAGGTAGCCTAATCAAATAATATTTAAATATGGTGAAAAAGTCTCATATACTATAATGGTCTATTTGATACTATTTTTTAATTAATTTATTGATCAGGTATATTATTCTTTCCACAGTAAAATGCTATAACAGATTTAAGAAATTACGTTCATGCGATTGATAATTTCATCAATTTGTGTTTTTTCTATAGAGCTATAATCACAAAACTTAAAATGTTAACCCTAACGTAGGAAGTAGGATAGGTAACACAAACTCAACAGAAATTGTACAAAATTCGAATATTTACCAAAGATGTACTGTGACTGTTCTCGATAATATAATTTTCATATTCCATGCATATTAAATTTTGGATTTTTGAAAAGCCGAACATGCGAGGTATACACGGAGAGCCGCGGGTACATTCGTTTTGCTTTGCACGTTTTTTGACGCAGGACATACCAAGGTAGTGGTTTGTGGTCATTAATTAATTATTATTAGGTATACTAAAAATATTAAAATAATTCTTAACAGACCTTGGTCTACTCAATACTTACCTACAATAAGCATTATATTACGGTACGTACATTGTATACAGAAAATACATGACGTGTGCATATTTTTTCCGTAGAAAAGTATGTCTTAACAAATTATATTTAATTATTGCAAAAAAAAAACAGATAGTATTTGAGTCGAGTTTCGAAAAGTTAATTTATTCAATAGTAGTATTCGTTATCCATATTAAAATATTATAACGATATATAATATATACATTACAGGGGCGTATTTAGAAAT